GAGATATATATATATATATCTGAATCTAATGAATTTCTAGATTAGTGCAAAAAATAGGGTATTTATATTTTGATGATGATGTCATCCACTTAAAATCGTAGAAAGAAATACAACTAAGCTTCAGTACAAGCACAATCAAAGTCCCTGGAGTTCAAAAATTCAACATGCAGTCCAACTCCGTGCTCCCCACCTTCCGTTCAAGATCGAACGCCCATGATGATCCTCCGTGATTCATCTCGCCGCCCCTCTGCACGCCCCCGGGCTGCCCAAACGCCGAGAGGGAGAACGGCAGATAAAGATTAGAAAATGCCGGCGAAGCGTATGGGATTTGTGCGGCGGCAGGAAAGTGACTTCCGGCGAGTGTGGAAGCGGATGTGGAGAAGCAGGGCACGTGATCTCTCTCGAAGCTGTTGAATGACGTCTCGCTGTCGCACGTTGAACCGCCGGCGAGGTCGCCGGAGAAAGTGGCGGCGATGGTGGCGCGGCTTTTCTTCAGGCCGGCGATCTTGAGGAACACCCTGCATAACACCCACTCATCCTGCATCCAGGAGGAATACAAAAATCAATAAATTGACAAAATCACCCCTTTCTTTGGGAAAATTTACATACCTGCCACTCAATCCCAATCTTTCACATTTATAACTTTCACTGATATAAAGTAAAGTTTAAATGTTCGATATGTAAATACATAAATGTTGGTTGCAATATATATATATATATATATATATATTGCATTACACTCATCTAGGCATTGCATGACCTATGATTCAAAATCATAAATACAAATACATAAACATTTTCTTCAGAAATTTTTTTTTATATACTTATTTTAATTAAAATAATTCAAATCTTATTTTTTAATTTCAATCTTAAAATCTAGCAATATTTAAATTGATGTATTATTTATCATGTCTTCACAATATAAATGAAGAGGAAATATTTACATACTAACCACTCATTTTTTTTAAAATTTACATACATATTTACATCCTTCAAAATTTAATAATTGTAATTTTTATGCAATATATTTAAATTTTTTTTTATTATAATATATCATAATAACTTTTATTGAAGGACAGAAATTAGTGAAATTTACATAAATTCTACAATTTATCCACATAATTGATGGAACTTTTTCCAAATTAAATGTTAATACTAATATTTTTTTAAATACTCATTATTGCATTCAATTATTTCATTTTAATATACACATAATTTAAAAATAGACATATGAATTTCTATTATTCTACCATATTTGGTATTTAAATATTTCAATTTATTAAGATAAAAATAAATTATTATTTCTTCCTAAATTACCTTTGAAAAACCAGCTACAGAGTGATGAGCAAACTTGCCCTCCAGTCTATACTCATGCATGACCCAACTGCTCTTCTCTCCCTTAGGCGCTCTTCCCCTGTAAAAAACCAGAGTCTTCTTCATCCCCACAAGAAACCCGCTCCTGGAACTATAAATCTCCCTATCCTTCCCCGTCGCCTTCCAGTATCCGGCCTCAGTAGCCCGGTTCGTTCTCAGTCCAGTTGGATACTTTCTGTCTCGCAGACTGAAGAAATACCATTCCTTCTCTCCCATCTTCGCCTTAGCTGCTCAAATGAGTGAAACAGAGCAACTTATTCAGAACTTGTATGAGAATTATGGAAGAAAGTTGAGATTTTTTGCTAACCTGGAAGCTCCCATGGCTCGCATTTGTTGAGATCAATCTCTGCTATAGCTCTGCTTGTGAAGTTGCAGTCGAGTAATTTCTTGAGGAGGTAATGAGTGATCAGCTCTTCATCGGTTGGATGGAAGCGGAAGCCAGGTGGGAGATGGACTTCCTTGCTGTGGAAATGGTGGCTGAAGTTCTCCATTTGGGAAGGATATTATCTTATCTTGCCTTAACTGAAAGAAATAAAAACGCCATTAATCATAGTTATAAGAGAACATAATGAATGTTTCAATTTTGATGGAGCCATTAACCATAGTTCTATGGGAACACAATGAAAGTTTCAATTTTGACGGAGGAGATGAAGATGGATGAATATTAGCTTTACCTGAAGAAATAAAGGCGCCTCTTTTAGAGAGCAACGAAGCAGAGGAGACGGATAACTGAACTTTTGGAAATTGGAACAGTTTATATGGAGGACTTGCTCAAGTTTCTGATTCAAAATCTCATTTTTTTTGTGTTTTTTTTAAACTTCAGCCGTATCTTATTCCTTTGCGATGCAGTGTGGCAGGACAGAAGAGCAGCTGTAATGATATTATGTCTATACTAGAGGAAGAGAGATATTGCAGGTATTTTCTCGCTCATTGGGGAAAGAGAGGGAGCAGAACGTAGAGTTTAAGAGGAAGGAGTGAGGAGGAAGGAGGGGGGATTGGAAGTGATCTTCCAGCAGGGAAAGCCTGACTCGTATCTCAATGTGTCAGAGCGAAACAGTGCAGAATTGAATAAATATACGACAGATTCCATCACATCAGACCTAAAGCCATGGCTTTTCTCTTTTGTGCTCCATTTTTGGTGGGGCGGAGGAAAGGATGTTTCTTTAGGGGCTTTTTGGTGAAATATGAGAGGGAAATAAAAATAAATATGTAAATAGTTTATTTGCTTTCTTATACTAGCTTGTAATTGAGTGTTTTGCTTCAATCATTAGGTTTTAGATTTAACTAATTAGAGATGAATTGTATATGTGAATTTGTTGTGCAATTTGTTTGAATGTTTAAAAAATTAATTACTCTATTATAAATGTTATGGTATTGCTCATATATTATATAGGGACAGACGCTGGATCGAAGCGGAGCGAAAGAATCTGTCCAAATCGGGAGTTACGTGGGTTGGGGGTGTGGGGGCAAAGCCCCGTCATACGGTACATGGGTAATGTTGCAATTACGTATTGTACTTAGGGTTTACTTTTGAGGTTATAAATAGTCTGTTAGTAATCCCATGAGGTATCCCTCTATTTTGTAACATCTTTTCTGAATATTGAAAAGAAATTCGTCGTTCTGCTTCCGAGGACGTAGGCATCTTTGCCGAACCTCGTTAATCTCTGGGTTCTTCTAGATTTGTGTCGTTCTTGGTTTTCTTCACCATAAATTTCTCAACATATCAGAGCCAAGTTGCAGGGTAAGGAAGACGAATTCGGCGAATTGATTGGCCCCATGTTCGACGCATGCTAGGGATTCGCGACTGCGACTAGAGTTCGTAAAGTGGTTCACGGCGTTCGCGTTAATGACTTCAATCAAATAATCACTGATTTATCACGGCTTGATGTGAGTATTGAGGATGAAGATCGAGCAATGATTTTGCTGTGTTCGTTGTCCTCTTCCTATAAACATATGAGAAAAAGACTATCAAAGTTGATGAGATTACTGCAGCATTGTTGGCTCACAACCAGCGGAAACAGACTGTAGGGGAAAGCTCTCATGGCGACAGTTTATATGTTAAGGGTAAGCAGGATTGGGGAAGGAAGAAAGAAAAGGAGGGTTCTGGAATGCGAAATTCTAGATCGAAGTCTAAAGACAAAAAGACAATTCATTGCTACAGTTGCAATGAACCAAGTCATATGAAGAGACATTGTCCAAAGCTCAAGAAGCAGATTGGAGAGAAAGGTGATGCATCATCGAAGTCTGTAAATGTGATGCAGAGCGATAATTCAGATTGGAGTGATGGTGATATACTTTCAGTTTCATTAACTCAGTTCACGGATGCATGGATTCTGGATTCAGGGTGCTCTTATCACATAACACCAGACAGGGAGTGGTTTACTTCATATAGGTTAACTAATTCTGGCTCGGTCTATTTGGGTGATGATAGATGCTGCAATATTGTTGGTATTGGAGAAGTCAGAATTCAGATGTATGATGACACAGTTAGAACGTTATGTGATGTCAGACATATTCCAAATTTGAAGAAGAATCCGATTTCCTTGGGCACTCTACACATATATGGTTTTATTCCTAAGGCAGATAAGGATAGTAAAACCATCAGAATCATTAAGGGTGCACTGATAGTGATGAAAGGAAAGTTAACTGCAGACAATATCTACAAACTGTTGGCGAGTACATTTGTAGGTGGAGTTCATTCTGTGGAGTCAGATGATGACAAAATAAAGCTATGGCATATGCGTTTGGGTCATCTCAATGAACGTGGGATGGCGAAATTGCATAGAAGAAACTTGTTGCATGGTGTTAAAAGCTGCAAGCTCGATCTTTGTAAATTTTATATTCTTGGAAAACAAACTAGAGTCAGTTTTATGACTGGAAAACACAAAACTGAATGGATTCTTGATTATATGCATTCTGATGTATGCGGTCCTACTAGGGAGTTGTCATTGGGAGGATCTCAGTATTTCGTTATCTTTATTGATAATTTCTCCAGGAAAATTTGAGTGTATTTCTTGAAGCAGAAATTTGAAGTCTTCTCTAAATTCAAGTTGTGGAAAGCTGAGATGGAGAACCAAACTGGCATGGAGAACCAAACTGGCAGACAAACTGGCAGAAAGATCAAGTATTTGATGCTGATAATGGCACAGAGTACACAGATTTGCGTTTCAGAAGTTCTATGAGGAGCATGAGATTCAAATGCATTTTTTAGTGAGCAAGACACCACAACAAAATGATGTGGCATAAATGATGAACAGATTTTTAACTGAAAGGGCAAGGTGCTTGAGACTGAATGCAGAGCTTGCTAAGATTTTATGGGCAGAGGCTGTGAATATGACATGTTATATCATCAATAGATAACCTCAAGCATCATTGGGTTGGGTGGCAAGGTCACGGAAGAGGTATGGACATATAATCTAGTTAAATTCGATCATTTACGGATTTTTGGTTGTCCTGCTTATGTGCATGTACCTGGAGATGAAAGATCTAAACTTAATGCAAAATCCAAGAAGTGCATCTTTCTGAGCAAAAAAAAAAGTGTGAAATGATACAAGTTTTGGGATCCGATTGCAAAGAAGATGGTGATCAGCAGAGATGCAGTTTTTGATGAGTAGTTTATGTTATAGCAGAATGAAGACAAGGTGTCAGAGAAGAGTTCCAGTTCAGATGCAGTGCAGATGGATTTAGAACAACAGCTAGTAGCTTCTGAGAGAGGTGAAAGTTAAAATCCAACACCTGATGATTCTATTTTAGATGATCTGTAAAATTATAATCTAGTCAAAGATAGAAAGAGACGCACCAATGTAAGGCCTCCTAGCAGGTTGGGTTATGAAGACTTAGTCTCATGTGCACTTCTCATCAGCAGCAATGATCCAGCCATTTTTCAAGGAGCTATCACTTGCCAGGAGAAAGAGAAATGGATGGGTGCAATGGTTGAGGAGATGGAGTTTTTGTAGAAAAATCGTACTTGAGAGCTAGTTCAACTTCTAGAGGGAAAGAATACTATTGGGTGCAAATGGGTCTACAAAAAGAAACCACAATATCAGAAAAAGGAGTGGAAAAGTTTAAGGCTCGACTGGTTGCAAAGAGATTTTCACAGTAGAAGGAGATAGATTATGATGAAATCTTTTTTCCTACGGTCAGACATACTTCAATCAGGGCAGTGCTTGCATTAGTAGCTATTTGGGATTTGCATTTGGAGCAGATGGGTGTTAAAACTGTTTTCTTGCATGGTGATCTGGATGAGCAGATTTACATGGAGCTGCCAGAAGGGTTCACTCAATCTGGATAGAAGCATCTGGTTTGCAGCTTAAAGAAATCGGTTTATGGGTTGAAACAGTCTCCAAGACAATGGTACAAGTGGTTCGACTCCTACATGACTCAGATTGACTACAAGAGATGTGAGTATGATTGTTGTGTTTATGTGAAGAGCCTTAATGATGATTCTATTGTTTTTCTGTTACTGCATGTTGATGATATACTGATTGCTGCAAAGAATTTGAATGATGTCCGTGGTTTGAAAGTTTTATTGAGCCAGGAATTTGACCTGAAAGACTTGGGTCCTACGAAGAAGATTCTTGGAATGGAGATTCATCGAGACAGAGGCTCAAGGCGATTATGTTTATCTCAACTAGGCTATGTTGAGAAAGTGCTGGAAATGTTTGAGATGAGCAAAGCAAAGCCTGTGAGCACTCCTTTAGCAAATCATTTCAAGTTTTCTTCAAAACAGTGTTCTAAGACAGATACAGAAATTGAAGACATGGCAACTATTTCATATGTCAATGCAGTTGGCTGTTTGATGTATGCAATGACATGTACTCGTCCTGATTTGGCTCATGCTGTTAGTCAAGTGTGCAAATATATGACTAAATCTGAAAGGCAACATTGGGAAGCAGTCAAGTGACTTTTCAGGTATCTGAATGATATTGTAGGACATGAAATTATTTTTGGCAGTCAGCAGAATGATCCTTCAGCTGTGAAGTATGTTGATTCAGACTATGCAGGTGATTTGGATGACAAAAGGTCTGCAACTGGGTATGTGTTTACTCTTGGTGGAGGGCCTATATGTTGGAAATTAACAATTCAGTCTATTGTGACATTATCTACAACTGAAGTTGAGTACATGGCAGTAGCTGAAGCTGATAAAGAAGTCTTATGGCTTACTGGGCTAGTAAAGGAACTGGACATTGAGCAAGGTGGAGTTTAGTTGCATTTTGACAGTCAGAGTGCTTTTTATCTGGCTAAGAATCAGATGTACCATACGAGAACGAAGCACATTGATGTCAGGTATCACAAGATTAGAGAGTTGATTGCTTCTGGTGAGATACTGTTGCAGAAGGTTCATACTGATGAGAATGCAACTGATATGTTGACCAAGCCAGTTGTTATCAATAAGTTATTGCATTGCTTGAACTTGTTGAATGTTTGCAGTGATGCATGTGTAACTCTCAGACATCTTTTCTCCTAAGGGGTTGGATATTCGTCATGGTAGAGATTTGTTATGGTAGGACTCATATACCATATAGGGACAGACATTGGATCGAAGCGGAGCGGAGAGGAGCAGAAGAATCTGTCCAAATCGGGAGTTACGTGGGTTGGGGGTGCGGGGGCAAAGCCCCGCTGTACGATACAGGGGTAATGCTGTAATTACATATTATACTTAGGGTTTACTCCTGGGGTTATAAATAAATATGTTAGTAACCCCAGAATGTATCCCTCTATTTTGTAAACTCTTTTCTGAATATTGAAAAGAATTCACCGCTCAGTTCCCGAGGACGTAGGCATCTTTGTCAAACCTCGTTAGCTTGGCTCGGGTTCGGGTCGTTCGAAATTGTTCGTGTTCAAAATTGGCTCGTGAACAGTGTGTTCGTGTTTGGCTCGATTTAAATATTCGTGTTTGTATTCAACTCGAAATTGACTTGTTAAAATTAAACTGAAAATTATAGATGAAGGGTGTTGGGTTCGAACTTGAACCAAATGTATGCAAAACAGACGCATAATCACATTACCACAAGATCAGTTACGATTTAAACTTAGATATAAATATATATAATATATTATTATATAAATAATATGTGTAATATATTTTTACATAAATAATTATATCTATATTTTTTATTTCGAGCTAAAACGAGCTGAACACGAGCGAACAAAGAGTTGTTCGTGTTCGGCTCATTTATAATTCGAGCTTTTAAAACTTGTTTGTGTTCGGCTCGTTTACTTAACGACCGAGCC